ACATATATCATCACAGAGATGTACATAATATTTTAACTAAAGTAACATTAAAATTACCGTTTCCCAAAAAATTCATGTATATTTCATAAAAAAAACAGTAATTGACAAAATCATAAATCCATACACAGTGTGAGAGCATTTCAGCAAAAAAAATAAATTACACAGTTTATTTTTCTTAAATATTAGTTAAATATAAAATTAATTTATTAATTTAACCGTTGTAATTTATTATAGTACAACTTTAACAAATTCCGTCACACTGTATTTTTATTTGCTCATAATTCTAAGTTTGAGACCTGAAAAAAAAAAGTCGGGGATCTTAGTTACAAAAATCACAATCTATACTCATCGATGGTCAAGAGATCCCCATTTTTTCCCTCTCAAGAAATTCCTAAGCACGAAGAGGGGGGCCTCCGAAGTATAGTGTACTAGAAGATATAGTGGAATTATCGGCGCTATTTTTCGTAATCGAGTTTCGACATTCCGTTAGATGGCGCTGTGATCACATGTGCCCCATAAATCCGAGACGTTTACTGCAATTTCAATTATGTTTAAAGGTCTAAATTAACATATTTCACACGAAATTTTTCTCATCTTTTTTTAAGAAATATATTTATTTAATTTCATGGCGCCTTTAAGAGGCCTACAGAAGAAGTTTTTTTTTTTTTTTTTTTTTTTTTTTTTGCTTGCATATATTACAGAAATTATATATTTTTAATGCTCATCTTGTATGACCATTTTAAATTTGCCATTTCCTAAATTCTTTATAACTTGCACTATATAAAACTCAATACCTTCTACCTCTTATCAAGTAATATAGCAAATGAATTCACATGGAACAATGGACTCACACTTTCATTCAAAGATATTTACATGAATGCTAAAATTTATATATCATTTATTTATTTATTTTTGTACAAGTATGTTAATATGAAACTATGATATATCACTTAAAACTGAATGGATCTATAAAAACCATAAAATTTAGACAATTTTAATTCAAATTTGTGAACATTTAGAGCTCTACATTTTTACTACTCAGGTTTTCATGCATTATCTTTTAATATTTACCTGGTTTTACTGATAGATAATGTCTGAATTAAGTGCACAGAAGTGTGAAACAATCTTTGATCATTTTGAGGGCCCACCAATATTAAGAGAGGTAAAATTCTTGGACACTGGTTAACCTGTAATCATTCCTAGCAAACAGGCTGGTTGCATGTGATTTTGTATGGTTTCCCCCCCCCAAACCTAATGTGAATCTCAGTCAGTTTCCCTTCAAAAGCCTTCTACAAAAGCAAATATAAAACCTCCTCTTAAGCAGATAACTTTCATGTGCTTTGCCTAAATTAAACAATTTCTAAGTTATAACATAAATTATCATATCTCAGATGCTAATTAATTTAAAAGCAAAATAAGTAATGTTAATTTTTATTGTCGAACTGCATTTGAAATGCAGGCAACTTATATAAAAATTAAATTTTACAACAAATGTCAAAGCGCTATCGTATGAATGAAATGAAAGTGAGAAAATGAAAATGCATATATAAAATCTATGTATTTGTTATAAAAAATGTATTTTTACCTTAATTTCATGGTTCTTAGAGGCTTTTTGATTTTATCATCACTTTAGAATAGAAAATTTTACATGACTTCTACATCATTATAGCAATGTATATACTTATAAATATTATTAAATCAAAACTGAATCATGAAAGTAAGGCAGTTTGTTTGATTTAATAATATTTGAGAAATGAATTGGCACCCCTAAAATGTACTCCATGAAAACATTATTCTTCTTAGTTTAATTTATGTAGTGCATATGTTTTGCCTTAATCAAACAACCTAATTTTCATTTCGAAATGATAATGAAAATTATTACATCTGATCTGGTTAACTTAAAGCAAAATTAGCAATGTCAAATTTTATTGTTTGAATGTAGTCAATAATGTGCAAATTAGATTTCAAAACATTATTAATTATATATGAATGAAATGAGAGAAATGACAATACACACACACACACATATATAGTATAAAAAATCCATTTATTTGGTGTAAAAATAAAAGAGATACTTTACCTTGATGTAACCCTAAATTTATTTTGAAAGTTTTTTTATAGTTAGTTGCACATGTGGACAATAAGATGCCACAAGAGAGTCACTGTTTAAAGCCTCTAAATTTTATTCTAATTAATGAAAAAAGAATTTTGAGGGAATACAGAGCTATCAAATCAGGATTGTATGTGCAAACTGCATTTCGAAGAGCATTTTATTGATACATTTTACAGCCATACTGTCAGAGTTGAGGAAACAAAAATTTTATGAGGCAAATCACATAAAGCAATACTAATAATATGGAGAAATATGGTTCCAATAGAGTTTCACTTTGATTGCCTGAAAACAAATCACAAAAAAATCCACGGTAATTTTTAACATATCTTTGTAGGCAGTTTCTTTCCAGGCACAAATCAGAATTTTATTTTCACGGATAGTTCATAAAGTTTTGGTCCTTCATTCTCATTATTATAACATTCAATTAACCATTTTTGGATCATAAATCATACCTTGAGTACTTTTAATACGTTTTGGAGGCATTTTTAAAAGCATTTATAGCAAGTAATTGCTTCGGATTGAGGAACAACAAAAGAAGTGTTTTTTGTTTTTTGTTCTTTTAAGGATAACTCTGTAAATTTTTTTTCTTAAACAACATATCAATTTGTTTTTCTATTATTGCTTAATTTTGATTTTCAAATAATTATTTTTTACAAATTTTTCTTTTCATAATCTATTTACATATTTACAATGCACACATTTTGCAGACTCATTAATTTAATTGCAACTTTTTAAACTGTACATCTGATCATGCATAATATTTACATTTTTATGATAGTGTGCTGATTATTTCCAAAATGGTTCCAACTCCAATGCAGACGATATTGCCTCAACATTTTCAGTAAAATTATACCAGCTCGCTCACAGCATTAAAGTAACAGTTGGGTTTTTTGGCCACACACATGAAACATCTGCAATGAATTCATTATTTTTTTAATTGATACTGACTAATTTTCTGACCAAAAGGGGTACGAAAATTTTCATTACAAATCATTTTTAAGACTATGGATTGAGGACAGCTTTTGATTTTTTAATTTTGACCAAAATGAGGGAAGGGTGGTAACTGGGACAGTCTCTACATCACTTATCGCTACAGTTCTTTTAACAGGTGTTTGATGTTTATACTAATATTTTCTTTATTCATACATGTTTTTTTTTTGTCATAGTTTGTATATTATTTCTTCTTGACTTTCCTTTTTTGTGGTAGAGGTTTATTGAAATACTTTGGAGCATTCGAAAATATGCTAGGGTATTATTGCTTCAGGTTTAAGCAGTGGTTTTACCCTCTTGGAATTTTTATTTCCTCACCGTTAACAATATGATGAATATTTCTCAACGTAAAATGTTCTTCAAAATGCAGTTTTCACACACATGTGGGTGAATCGATAGTTCTGTATCTCCTCTGGAATTCTTTTCGGATTCTTTTCGCCCATTCGGGACGAAATTTTTCCGACGAGAATTTTCGTCTTGGGAACTTTAAAAAACAATGATTGCTTTTGTGGCATTTGGTGACCAGATATACAGCCGGGAAACAAAACACTTTCGTGAGAGTTTTGCCGACAATAAATTACGTTTCAGCACGCTCACAAAACCAAAAAAGAATACCCAAGATTATTTGTGTAAAATGTTAGATAAAGAATTACAAAAGAGCTTTAAAGGTAGCAGTAATGATTCGATCTTTAATAGGTAAGATAGCAAGTGGTCGACGATTTTAGTCACTGATTTCGCTATGCGCTGAATCAATATATTTTACGAAAACAAGGGATTGTTTGTTTTACCATGGGGTGTATGGGCGATCTCCCACTATTCTTCTAGTACACTATATCCGAAGGGTGTGAATTGCTGATAAGACCGGCTACTGATAAGGAATGTGGCTTCTCTACTGAATAGTGTACGAAGAAAAGAATCACATACTTGCTATATAAAACTAGAATACTACTATGTGTATAATGCTAAAAATCTTAATAAAAAAATAATAGAATAAAAATTTTTTGCACTCTGTGATAGAGAAACATCTGATTGATAAAGAGAGAACAGAAATGTTACTTATCTGAATATTCCCGTGTCAGGAGGTTGCCTCTTTTGGATTTTCTGTGGATGATAGTAAAACAGCTAACAAAAACACCTGAAGTTTCGATGAAGCGAAGTTTCCTTTTTCAATTTGATGAAAGAGACATTGCATAAAAGGTGCATTAAACTTTTTTAGAGATTGTTGAAAATATTTACTGAAACAGTTATTTAAAAAATTTCGGAGCTATGTTTAGACACTGCCTCCAGCTTTCGTGATCGCAGCGCCATCCAAGAAGAGAGATGTGAGAGACTGTCAACTAACAAAAAAAAAAAAAAAAAAAAAAAAAAAAAAAAAAAAAAAAAAAAACGCAATTCCAAAGCACTCGTTTCTGCATTTCACAAAGTCCCAGTTAAACCGAACTAATCGATTTTTTTTTTATACCGTACGTAGTTTTCTTTCTCACGGTAGAAAAATCTTTATTCTTCCTTTTCCTTGACACACACACGCATATATATATAAATGCACATTATATATAATTTCCTTCTCGTTATCTTTAATTTTGATAAAAAGCAATTTTGAAATCTCAGTCAGAAACCTCCGCTCTATCCGTTATTTCAGACTTCTGCTAATTTTCGCACAGTATATTAAGTGCCATTCCCTTCAACAAATATCCTCATATAATATTATAGGCAAACACTAACACTATTTAATTTAAAAGTCTTGTTAAGTTTGTTTGTGGAAATTTAATGAAAATTTTATTTTCCAAAGGGAGCGAATAATAAATGAATAATAGTCGTAATATGAGCGATTTGCAAAATAACAAGAATTAAAAACCTTCCGCTGGAGTCTTCCTAGAACGAATCTATCGTGATTCGTCGTTTATATTGAGTAATACATTAACGAAAGACTCGTTCGTTGGTAAGGATTGTGATTGTGAATGAATACGTGACGTGTGAAACTGAAGATCCTCTTTTTAAGAATCTGTTGTAGTTTATGTTTGCATTTTATTTTCTTTAAATTACTGTGAATTCCATTATAAAAGGTTTAAACCTTATAAGCATGAAAATGGGAGAAGACACTCCTGTTTCAGCCCTAGTGCTGCCTATATTGGTTGGACCTATTTTAGACAAGGTTTGTGAAATTTCGAAATATTTATGTTAAATGTCAAATTGCACTTTTAAATATAAATTTAACATTAAGTACCAGTACGATGTTGAATTCGATGTTAAAGTAAGCCGTATTCTGTATTGTCAACGTCAACAAAATGTTACGTGATGTGAAAACATTATTTTGTATTTGTGCAAAGTTCTCTTGATAAATATCTTAATTATGGGGTTTGGATTTCATCGTATATTTACGGTTTTAGTAAGTGAATTTCAGTGCATATTTATTGATGATTAAGATATTAAATCTGAAACAGAAGCTATACTAATTAAATATCGTCAAAAATGTGAAGTGTTTGTAATTTATTAAGTTCTGATTTGGCATAATGCGCTACGCTTTTATTATTAGCCAGTTTCCGTGTATGAAGGAAAAAACAGTGTGGGTCCTTTTTTTTTTTCCTCCTGCTTTATATGTTTGTTTAAATTAAATGGCCAATATATCGTGCTTAACTGTAAAAGTTAAGAAATTTCCTAATAAATCTCTTTGCTGTTCGAATATTATAAGTAAAAGTTATTTTCAAATCTATTCGTAGAGCCACATTAATTTCTTCTCTAAGTTTCATAGAATATACATTAGTTGTAATGGTGTGATTACATTTTAGAAGTCATGGTTATGCTGAAAATAACTTTATATACTGATATCATCTCTTCGTATAACTTGTTTAATAAATAACAGTTGTAGTTTATATCCAGAGTACTGCGAATGCCAGATTGAACTTTTGCTTCATGTGTTGAAATTAGAAACATATGAAATGAATTTCTACACTGCTTGATGTTGAAATTATTTTAAAACTAGTAAAATTATTTTGATTTTATGAGAAATAGTCCTTGGTAAAATAATGTCTTTTATTTCGCCTAGTGTAGTATCAACTTCATAAGTATTTTCTGTATTAATGTGTGTTTCTCCATAACAACGATCTGTCCGCCCTTATCAGCTTTAGAGATAATGATATTAGTATCAGAATGAATTTCACGTAAGATCTCATTTTCCTTTTTGCTGAGATTCGAACCCAAAGATTTGTTGTTAAAATTAACGTTATGAGTAATTAGGTGGCAGATTGTATCCTTCTGCGTTTCTGAAATTTTGGAGAATTTAAAGGCTTTCTCCAGAGGGGCGATGATTTGAGGAATTGAAGGTTTAGATGTCTTTGAAAAGTTGAAATGATATTTTAATACTTTTAACTGATCTTCCGAAAGATTCTTATTAGAGATATTAACGATGGGGTTAACGTTTACAGTGGGAAGATCAGCTAGATATGTAATAGATTTCTCTTCTAATCTATTTTCTGTATTACCTAAGTAAATACCTATTGTAAGTATTTTCTGTATAAAAAAAATTTCAGAAACTTGCATTGAAGCAATTTTACAATTTACAGTAAATGTATGAGTATGTTTGACTTGAAATTGTATGCTGTAATTTTCTTATTAAGTTGAAAGAAAACTAGAACTTCTTATATGTGCAGCATTGTTATACCAAATCTAAAATATTGAGTTGTAACTGTTGTATATGAGCAAGGAAATATTATAGTGTACTACAGTTTTATGTGCAATATACAGTTATTAAAGAACTGGACAGGTAAAAGCATCCGTAGACAGGTCAAATTTGATAGAATTTTAAAATTTGTTATGAAGAAAATTTTCATAACAATATAGTTCAATTTTTAGTTAAGTTTTACTCTACAGTACTGATTGGTGAATCATCTCTTTTTTGACACTAAGATCGTCTCCAGGAAGGATCGGCACCAATTTCAAGATGGTGCCAATCCTTCCGCCTGCTACACAAAACTGAAACAAGAAGTCGAACACTTACACAAACTCGGTGTCCACGTACAGATTGACCTATTTTAACTTAAAAAAACATCAGAGAATTGCACAAACTAGGCATTGTGCACTGCCTTAACTCTGTCCATGTACACCTCGATCTATTTTCACTTAAACAAAATCAGAAAGCTAAAACAAAGTTAAAACTATCATGTTAACCAGAAAAAATTCGAAGCTATCTTAACAACACGCAGAGACGAACAAATAACCAAAAATACACAAACAGACAGTAATAAATAACCAAAAATACCTATTTCTTAACATAAAAACATTAAACAACAAATCTTTTGACAAAACACACAGACATGAATAAGTAAATGAACCTCATTTTTTTAACATACGTTTTTCTCACGTGTATATATTCACGCTTCCCAACATTATCTCCTGCATCCTCCATATAAGAAATTCAATTAAATGTTTGGTCGCTTTGGCTCATCTACTGTTAATCAACATTCGTCCTCTTACCCATCTCAGATATACTCAAATGATGGTACCCACAGCAACATAATAGCAATTTCAAAATCCAAGACCATACCATGCACATCCAAGCAAACACAACTGAAAATCAAACCCGCGTCCATACGAAAGGGTTACTACAGCCAAAAGTCGTTAATCCGGGCTCGTCGGGACTTAGGCGATTCTGGATTATCAATTTTTCTGTATTATAGATCATCAGTTTAAATCTGGTAAGATGGCATGCAGAAATTATAAAATTGAAAATATGAAACCGTAATTTATGAAATAAAGAACAATTATGATCTAAAGGGTATTAAAATGTAAAACAAAAAAAAAAAAAAAAAAAAAAAAAAGCTTAATATTTATTTGTTTATTTTATTAAACATTTCTTTCAATGTAAGTTGTTTAGTTTTATGTAATAATACAGTCAAAAGTCGTTAATCCGGACTCGTCGGGACTTCGGCGATTCCGAATTATCGATTTTTCCGGATTATAGATCATCAGTTTAAATCTTGTAAGATGGCATGCAGAAATTCTAAAATTAAAAATATGAAACCGTAATTTATGAAATAAAGAACAATTATGATCTAAAGGGTATCAAAATTTGCAAAAAAAAAAAAGCTTAATATTTATTTGTTTACTTTATTAAACATTTCTTTTCAATGTAAGTTGTTTAAGTTTTGCTTCGTTTCATGTGATAATACTTTCTCTTTAATTCTATTAAACAGACATAATTTCTTGTTCAGTTACAAAGTTCCGCCGTTTCAAGTCCTATAATTGCTGTGTCAAGAACACCGACTAATTTGTCAATCAAAATTTTTTGTTTTCAATAACCTCTGCCACTTTCTTCGCTATCGGAAGCGAATTATAATGACGAGGAACTTGTTTTAAATCATATCAAAGACGGAGCATATCGAGATGAAATACTACATTTGGTAAGGAATTATAAGCCAAATAAAATAAAAACATCTGCGCTGAAGATAAGGATAGTGCTGACAAATCAACTTCCAATTCATTATGCGCCCGTCCCCGAGCAGCGTGAAATTGATAAACAGATTTCGGATTTCAAAACACACTTTCGCTTTAGATCCTTTACATATTAACAAATATATATTGGAAATTCTATTTGATATAATCGAAAGTTTAAGCTTACTTTTATAAAATTGCTCTTACAGTCTGCAAAAAATAATAAGCCGGATGCAATTCGAAAAATTAAGGAACAACGCAATCATCAACATTAACTGAAATAGATAATTAGATAATTTTAGCTTATACGTCCATTATACATAAAATGCGCACGCGAAAAAAACGTATTCTGCACTTGCGCGCACACTCATATGCGCAGTCGTAAAAGGTCTTACGCGCAGGCGTGAACGCCTCTGCGCATGTGTCAACGCGGCGCATGCGCAGAAATTTTTAGTTTTTATGTCCGGATTATAGATCATTCCGAATTATGGGTGTCCGAATTAACGACTTTTGACTGTACTTTCTCTTTAATTCTATAAACAGACATAATTTCTTGTTCAGTTACAAAGTTCCACTCTTCAAGTCCTATAATTGCTGTGTCAAGAATACCGACTAATTTGTCAATCAAAATTTTTTCGTTTTCAATTACCTCTGTGTCACTTTCTTCACTATCAAAAGCGAATTATAATGACGAAGAATTTGGTTTAAAGCATATCAAAGACGGAGTACATCGAGATGAAATACGACATTTAATAAGGAATTATAAGCCAAATAAAATAAAAACATCTGCCCTGAAGATAAGGATAGTGCTGACAGATTAACTTCCAATTCATTGCGTGCCGCTGCGTTCCCCCTCCCCCCCACCGCAGAGCAGCGTGAAATTTATAAACAGATTTCGGAATGGTTAGAGAAACAAAGGATTTGCCTTTATCCATTTTTTGCAGCAATTCCACTTTTTGTTTGATGGACTTCGAAACATACTTTCGCTTTGTAGATCCTTTGGGAGCTCCAGCATCGGAAATTCTATTTGACATAATCGAAAGTTCAAGCTTACTTTTATAAAATTGCTTTAACAGTCTTCAAAAAATAATAAGCCGGATCCAATTCGAAGATTAAGGAACAATGCAATCTGCAACATTAACTGAAAAAGATAATTAGATAATTTTAGCTTATACCGTCCATACATTAAACGCGTATGTGTAAACTTATTATGCGCATGCACACATGCATATGCGCAGCCGTAAAGGTCTTACGCGCATGCATAAACGACTGTGCGAATGCATCAATGCGACGCATGCGCAGAAAGTTTGTAGCTTTGAGGTCCAGATTATGGGTGTCCGAATTAACGACTTTTGATTGTATTACAAAAAATAGCCAAAATCTAAATTTATCGCAACACATTTGGTGATATTCACAGAAATAACTCATTTTTAACAACAAAAACTTAAAAAAAAAACACAATTTTTGCCAACAGTAGTAACAGTAGAGTTACTGAAAAACCTGTTTCATGCAGCAGGCTTCCAGATTTCTTGAACTACCAATACCACTGGACAATTTTTTCAGACAGAAATCAAGGTGTACCGTACCGTAAAGATCAGCCGAATTCTTTCTGTGTGTTGCAGGAAATCATTAATTTCCTTTCAAACCTTAACAACAGAATTTAAACTTTTTGTGCTCAAAGTAAAATGACACTATTAAATAATACTTATAAACTCATTTTTTTTTTGTTGTTGTTTTTATTTATAATTACATCAGTGCTAAAGTTGAGAATTTTTTCAAGTGATCTAATATTCAAAAATACTTTTTTCAACTTTTTAATCCTTTACCACATGTGTACATTTGCAGCACATTATTACACAAAAATGGTTAAATATTTATCCTTCATATTTAGTAGTATAAAATTATATTATTGCAGGTAAAAGTGAAATGTTAAAAAAAAACCAGTAATATCTGGTTGTAATGAAAGTGTTATTTCAAGAAACATTCTTAATAAATTTAGAAAAAGGAAAAAAAAAAAAAAAAAAAAAAAAAAAACATGAAAGCAGTAATTTTAGTGCAGATAGTAATCACCACCCAAATTTATAATTTTTCTGCCAATGTTTTGATACTTTTTCAAAGCTTTCAGCCCAGAAACTTGGTGGCCACGCACCCAAAAACAGATCAACCTCATTTCGGATGTCCTGTGCAGAATGGAAGATAGCACTAGCAAGATGTAGCTGAAGTTGTGAAAGAAATTAAAGTCCGAAGGAGCAATATTGGGTCTAAAGGAGTGATATATGGTGGGTGTGGCAAAGATTCCATTCGAGTCCAACAGGTAAATGCAGACACATGTGGTCTTGCATTATCTTAATTAAATGTTACCTCTTTGCTCCGGAACTCAGTTCAACGTTTTCCCGTGATAGCAGTGTCAAGATGGACTGCCGTCACACTGTACACCTTACTATTGAGGGTTTTACTTTTTTCCGGATACTCTTTTTGGATAATATCACGGCAATCCCACCAGATACAAAGCATGATATTTGTGACGCTGCCGATGAGCTCACCGGGCGCAGAACAATCCGTATTTTCGCCTTCTGTTGTTGAAGTAAATCCACTTTTCATCACAAGTGACAATCCGGTCCAGAATTTTCTCCTTGCATTGATATTCAAGCAGATTAGTGCAGAAGAACCTGGCTCAAGCAGCACCCAGTGACTGAACTAGTATGTCAAGTTTATGCGATGCATAACATGATTAATGGACATGGCACTAAGGTCTAACTCCTTAGCAAGCTCTCGAGTAATTGCATATTGATTTTATTAGTTCTTACAGGCAGGCCTTGATCTAATATTAACATCTGTAGGCCAACCAGAGAGGTTTGTTTCTTGAATGTCACAGTGCTTGTTTTTGAACTTTTGGTAACAAACCATCACAGTGTCATATGATACAACAATAGTACCTAAATATATGATTTTTTGACATTCTGTAGCTGCTTTTTGTAACAAAACTGGAAGTAAATGATGGCTCTAATCCTGTGATAATTCCATTTCAAACACCTTATACTTACCTTATTACACCATATTTTTTTTTTTTTTACAAATTTCACAATACAGTGATGTAAAGCAAGTCTTTTTCTTTCAAAATAAAAGAGTATGATTAAATATGCCAATGCAAACTGTTTGTGCAGAAGGTATTTGCGGTACTTTCGTTAAAATCTGATATATTTACAAATATGAAAGAGAAATTTTATCTATATTATAGTCATTTCTGGTATTTTTCCATCTCGCCAAGCAGACTTTATTGGCGACAATATACAGTATTAAGACACAATAACACGCTGAATAAATACTAATTCAGTAAATACTAATTCAATGAATAAATACTAATTCAATAATAATTTGTTAATAATTTTTGTTGTTTGACTTCTGAATTAATATACAGTATACACATAAAAATGTTAACAAATGTTAGTTCTAAGAATTTTTTATTTTGAAGGCGTAAACATTTTAATATGGTTTAAAATTTTGTAAAATGCCAATAAATAAAGACAATAAATTTGTAAAAAGACATTAATTTAAGAATTTACTATGCTTTCATGGTTCAACATCCTGATTCACCGGTTCGTATCACGTGATCCCAAGTGATCTCATCTCATCTCATCTAAACTATGCTACAAAAATATAATTCTCTCAGGAATTATCTACATTAATTTCAAGTTAAATCGTAATTTGGAATACAAGTGCAAGAATTATTTCAATTCATATAAATAGCTTGCTCAGAAATAATGTAAAACCGTAGTGCTTTACTTCGCTAGTGCATCCTCATTAGAAATGATGAATTTAACCCTTGACTTTGCCTTTTCTATGTTTTCGCCATTGGGTGAGCGGTGTGATTGCATCCTAATTGACTTAATTATCGCAAATGGTCTTAGGGCATAAAATTGAACTATCTGGTAAAAATTCTATTGCCAATATTGAAAGAAACAATCAATCTGATAATAAATGGCTGTGACTTGTTTTGAAAATGAGGCATAAAAGGTTATCAGCGAGGATATTCCGTTTGGCATCAGCTGTACCATTTTTGGAGACTTTATCGCTTGTGCCGGTAAAATGGAAAAGTACCTCATTTTTTTTTCAGAACTCCTGTTAATTGCATATATCTGAGCATAAGTATTTGTTTCACTATGTATAGAGAACTTTGAGAATTGTTACAATGCTTAGGTTTGTTATACTTCGTTGTGCAAAATTGAATATTAAGCAGAAGGTCAAATTGCTCTGAAAAACATAAAGCGATCTTGAAATATTTTTCATGAATGCGATTTGATAAATAACCCAAAATTTGCATAGATGGCTAGAGTTAACCTTGGAAGTTAAACATATAACTATTTTTTCAACATTCTGGGTAATTTTTATCCATACAGTTACAGATTAATAGTATGAAAATTTTAAAAATACTTTAAAGTGTGAATTGATTTTCTTTCTGTATTATTGGAAATAAAACTTTTATAAAAGAGAACAAATATTTAAAAAGAAATTAATTTCTGTGATAATTCTGAGCGTTCATATCTCATCAAGACAACGGAAAAATTGTTAATTAACTATAGCATGAAAAAGTGTATCAATTAAAATGTGTATTGGATTTGAAATTTAATTTGAAAGTTTTATAGATCAAATAATTTTTCATTAAGATAATTAAATAGTTCATTTTGTTGAAGAACTTAGTTCATATTATCATGTATACACGTTTTCATATTAAGTTTTTTTATGTTTTGGAAGCTGTATTAAGACTTATATTGAATTCTTCTGATGCATTGTACTTTTCTTTAATGTTTCAGATTGAGCGAAAGGATATTACAGCAGCACAGACTCTTAAATCTGCTATATCAAAGGTAATGCCTTTTCCTGAAATTTACTGTAAGAAATCGGGAGCTATTAGAATATAAAGTTTGAGTGTTCTATTTTTAGCCCAAGTTGGAATTGGACCCAAAGGACTATTAGTCTCAAAATGTCATTTTGCATCGTTTCACTTTCTGCATTGATTCACTTTTCAAGCTCTTACTACCAAATATTATCACCCTGTATTATATTTAAAGAAACTAAATAATGAAGAATCTGTATAAATGTTTCTCGCATTGTGAAAAAACGATACCTAGAGCCATCCAATTTTGAATAACGTAGTCCTCCAGCCATACGTGGGCACTTGGAAGCCTGAATTTTTGAATTTAGAATTTTTTTTAATATCTGTTTCAAATTTTGTAAAACTTAAATGAATTTTTGATTAACAAACTGAACAATTTCAAAAAGAACAATGGCAACACTCTACTGGAAAAAAAAATTTATCTCCAGAGCACGAGAGTGTGTATCGGAAATTCTAAAGACATTCTGTTTCTAAATATTTTGTGCTATTGCTGTTGAATTGAATTTTAAGTGCGAAGAACATGAAATTGAATAAATAAAGGTAACACATGAAACATTAAAAAAAAAAAACCCTTTTGGGTGCAATATAAAATCTGAAAGCTTTAACAATTTCTTTTCTTTCCCCTCCCTTTTTTATGGTTTAAAATTTCGAAACAGGAAATATTTCGTTAAACTTTATCTATGATGATTTCTCATGGCATTTTCAAGAATTAAGGCATTAGTGACATCAATGAATGTAATGTGTTATTCAACTGAAATGTAGTAAATAAAGTACATTTTGACAAAAAATACTAGATTGAATGAAATTTTTTACATTTTTAAATAATCATTTTAATGCAAAGAAGGCAAAGGATTATTTCTGAAACTAATATGGATACTAAATATGGAATGCTATTTGGTATCCAAAAAATATAGTGAAGCACTCAAGTTCATCACTATAAATGGTACTGCCCTATAAATAGTACATCACTAACTCTTAAATGGTACTTAATCCATTAAAGTTGGATTAAAATTGCTACGTTCTCATTCTTTTTTTAATTAACTTTTTTTCGTAATCAGTAAAATTATTCTTTCCAAACATTTACTGTTTTTTTTTTTTTTTTTTTTTTTTTAAGATTAGGATTCTGAGGATCTTTAATTTGTTTTTGAATGTTATTGAATTTCATGGAAATGTTTTGCTACTTTTGTATTTCAGTTGCTTAGCATTAGTAAATAGCTACTGAAGTTCTAATGAACTTCGCTCGATACTTATGTATTATTGCAACCACCATGGCACAATTAGAGGAATTTTACAGAAGAAAAGAACAGTTACTTTTATTGTAAAAAACTATATATTGCATATATACATAGTCTACATTTCAGTTATATATTTATTGCAAAAGGCAATCAGTGAATTTAGTTAAAAATAAGGGGTTTGTTGTTGTTGTTGTTGTTGTTCTTGCTGGGGACATTTTGTAGCAGTTTTCCTTGAGAAAGAATTCAAAGCATTGGTCATTTTGCAGAAATAATTTAAATAAATAATGTATTTCTGTAGAAATTTCACCTCCTCTTTTTTTTTTTCTTCTATTATAAGATAATTTTATAAGCATAAATTTTAAAATAGAATAATCATAATATTCCAATAAAAGCCATTAGAACTTAGAATACAACAAAAAGAACATGTGTGAAAATGGCTTTGTTGGGAACTGAATATTTATCATATGTATAGTTGCCTCAATAATTGTTATGCACATGGTTACCTGATTTTGTTGTATTCTGAAGTTTTTCCAATTTCTCCTTAGGTTGTTGCAATAATATGTAAGTACCTTTTGCTCATATCTCTTACTGCTTTGTCCATGTGACTGTGATATATATAAACAAAAACTCTTCATATTTTTAATAGTTTATTCTTGAAGTGTGTACTAAAAGGCATATATGATTCTATGTATAATATATTTTAATATTAAAAGGAAATTATGAGTAGTTAATTTCTGTTTCAGAATCTTAACAAAAATATAATAATGAAGTTAATTTGTTAATTATATGAGTTTTTTCTGAAAACAGTTTTATTCACTTTGTCTGATTTATAATTAATCTTGTTCAAAGTAGGCATTCTTACACAAAATAGAAATATGCTTGTATTTCAGTGTTTCATATATATATATATACAGTCAAAAGTCATTAATCTGGACTCGTCGGGACTTCGGCGATTCCGGATTATAGATCATCAATTTAAATCTGGTAAGATGGCATGCAGAAATTATAACATTAAAAATATGAAACCATAATTTATGAAATAAAGAACGATTATGATCTAAAGGGTATCAAAATTTACATAAAAAAGCTTAATATTTATTTGTTTACTTTACTTTCTTCGCTATCAAATGCAAATTATAATGACGAGGAATTTGATTTAAATCATATCAAAGACGAGTACATCGAGATGAAATACGACATTTAGTAAGGAATTATAAGCCAAATAAAATAAAAACATCTGCCCTGAAGATAAGGATAGTGCTGACAGATCACTTTCCAATTCATTGTGCACCGCGGCGTCCCCCCGCCGTAGAGCAGCGTGAAATTGATAAACAGATTTCGGAATGGTTAGATAAACAAACGATATGCTTTTATCCATTTTTTGCAGCAATTCCACTTTTTGTTTAACCCCTTAACTGCCGCGGGCGTATATATACGCCTTGCTCAGCCGATGCGTTAACTGCCCCAGGCGTATATATACGTCCTTCCAAACTGCTATCATTTGCTTTGCGCTGCTACACCTAAAATTATTCGCAAAGTTAACGCATCGGCTGAGCAAGGCGTATATATACGCCCGCGGCAGTTAAGGGGTTAATGGACTTCGAAACATACTTTCGCTTTGTAGATCCTTTACATATTAGTAAATATATATCGGAAATTCTATTTGACATAATCGAAAGTTCAATTTTACTTTTATAAAATTGCTGTAACAGTCTGCAAAAAATAATAAGCCGAATCCAATTTGAAGATTAAGGAACAACGCAATCTGCAACATTAACTGAATTAGATAATTTTAGCTTAGCTTATACCGTCCATTATACATTAAACGCGAATACGTAAACGTATTTTGGGCATGCGCACATGCATATTCGCAGCTGTAAAGGTCTTACGCATGCGTCAATGCGCCGCACGCGCAGAAAGTTTGTAGCTTTGAAGTCCGGATTATGGGTGTCCGAATTAACGACTTTTGACTGTATATGTAATTGTTTTGTAATCAAGATTATATTTTTCTTCTCTGTGGCATATTAATTCAGAAATATTGAAAGCTTGTGTAAACTGGATACTATTTTTATGCATTTTAATTTCTTCATATATCTGACAATTATTTCTATTGAATTGTTTTTAGGTTGAAAGTACACATCCAGGGTTCTTATATGATTTAGTTATGGGGCTGGTGAAGCAAGCAGATGTTTCAGTTAACATGGCTGAAAGTCTTCTTAAATTACAGGGATCAGTTCCTGATTGTGAAGGTAAAAGTCATATTTTTTTTCTTTATACAGCTGCAGAATTTAATTTCCCAGACTGTTGCCTGTCTTAATACTTTTTAGAAAATAATCAGTTTGAGGAATACTTAATGCTTTCAAAAATACAGTTAAATGTGATATCATATTAAATATCTTGGATAAGGTTTTTTGCTCTTGCAGTTATGTAACTTAGCAGTGCTTCAGAAGGATGGGTAACTGCAAGTGGTACTTCCTTATTATAGTGGCCCCCAAAATTTAATCACTAATCAATCGAGATGTAGCATGTACCACAGCATAAGAACACATGGCGAGATTTCAGTGCTATATCCCAATTGATTAGCGATTCAGTCTTGGGGACTCACTATAATAAGGAAGTACCCTGCAAGCTTGCCGTGATACTGAAAAATTTCCAGTAATTTCTGATTATCAGCAACCCCTTCCAAAAAGTTGTCAACCATTGGCTTCACCAAGCCACTTAGATTGGTCTGTTATCACTTAAAAATATCAGCAACTTGCATTAAATATTATCAATTACGAAACACAACTTCATGGAGAGTGAATTTTTCCATTTTCCCAATGTTACTTAAAACTCCTATTTCTGAAGAGATTCAATGCTTTCTTCTTCATCAGCTGGCAAACTCTAAAATCCATGTTAATGATTCCTTACTAGCAAAAAATGCAGTTATTTGGGGGGGGGGACTGACGGTTGGATTTGAAAGTGGAAATTCTGCTCATCTGCTGTGCATGTGCAAATTTCTGGATTACCAAATAATTCTTTAATATTTTTAAGATTAGTTGGGTTAATGTAATATGTCACAGAGAAAAAAATCTACATCACATTACAGATATCTGCTGAAATCAACATTAATTCATCTTCCTTTTAAACAAAGATTCTTTCTTTGAGAATATGGTTCCAAAAAAGTTTTCGTACAATTCTGTTATTAGGTCTGTTAAAAATTGCCAAATTATTGCTGCTGTCAGTGATGCCAAAAATAATTGCGATAAATGTAATGCAAGTTAGGAAGCGTAATAGAAAATAACTATCGAAGAATATTATTTTAATTTAGATGATAGATTAATTTCATATATTCCATTTGTATTACCATCACAAAAATAATACTAATAAAAGAACTGAAAGGTTTCAGAATTGAACAGTCCCCAAAAGGGTTTGTTAAGTTTTTTTTTTTTTTTTTTTTTTTTTTTTAGCGTTATTATTAAGCATCATTTTCTTTGCACTTAACACCATATACAATTCAACAGCAAGATTACAAAAATTTTAAAGGAGCATAATGTTATACATTTAGAATTCCTGGTGCAGCATTAAGTGTTCGCATACATTTCCCCCCCCCAGCCAGTTCATATTAATGTTCAGTTTTCCTGCTAAGATTGTTTACAAAACTTTATTTTTTTGTCTTATTATTAATGGTTCATGTGTTCACTTTATCACAGATATCACCTATTTGGTGCTTAATGCCACATAAAATTAGATTCAGCAGCAAAATCACAAAATAATTAAAAGCATCATATCTTAACAATTTCCAATGGACAGCCTTACCCACTGGAGATTAAAATGTTTTATTTTGTACAGTATTGCCACTTCTTGTTTTAAAATCATTGAGTTTATTAATCAAATATGCATTAAAGTTGTACAAAATGTGAAATAAGTAATAAAACAAATTCAAAACTTGGGCTTCTAGTTGCTCATGTTCTGTTGGAGGAGTGTGTTATTCAAAATGTGATGGCTGTAGATACCACAGTTTTTTCACAGTGCACGAAACATATATACATTCATGCACATTCTTCATTATTTAATTTTTTTATCTGTAATGCAGAGCGATATTTGTTGATTACGTTTTGAAAAGGGTTACACCATTTATTATGATTCAGTGCAAAATGCTGTTTTGAGACCAATATCTCATTCAGGACTATTGTCCCTTTTAGGCTAATAAGTAAATAAAACAGCTAAACATTATTGAAATTAAACAAGAGGCATTACAATTTTTTTATCTCTTTCAATATTGCAGAGAATTTTTTTTTCGTGTGTGTGTGAGAAAGAGAGAGAACATCACTAGATGAATTCAGAGATAATGAGAATCAAGATGTTGTCAAGGAGTGTGCCCAATGACGTTTTTTTCACTATTTTAGAACTGCTGCATAGCCATGCTACCGTTTGTGTTATGACACCCACTTTCAGGATCCACAAAATTATATTTGTGGTTAAGAGTAAAATGTTCAAAGCCGGTATCTCGCAACACATTTGATTTGTATGTTTTTTAGCAATCAGTGCCATCTTAACAGCATTATGGACCCCTGTGCAAACCAGTGTGGACAACCAGCCACAAAAAATAAATTTAAATAGATTAGCATAGGGCATTCAGGGAGCTATTGCCGAACCTGTTTAACTTCCACTTCTGTTTTGAGGAAGAACATCCTGGGAGGTGGTCTGAGGGTCTCACACCCACCAACCTCTTGAATGGACTTTTGGTTAATCACGTATTTCCAATTCTCCTTTGCTGCATTTCAACAAAATTTTTGCCGATTGATATAGAACAGCAACTAAAGTACGTTCAGTTGATTTTCTAAACAATTCCCTAAACATCCAGTGTGGTAGAAGAAAACAGGCTGAATGTTCTCTTTCTTCAAGTGAAATGATTTTTATCTATTTCCAAAAAGTTGTCACATCTGCCTATTGTCAATATAGGCTGATGAATTAAAGCTGTAGCACACACCTCATGTATGTAACTCTTCCAATCTACAGTTGTAATGTATTTGGTTGGAGTTCAGAAATATTAAAAGATATCATCTCCTGACACCAAAAATTGATGAACCTCTTGTCCGTAAGGAAGGGGATTTTTGATTCTTCGAAGCAATTTTGTGCTCTTAAGCCATTCTTCTTGTTACAGTGTTCTTCCTGTAGTGCCACTTTGCTGTTGAGTTACAAATAAAATCCATTTTCATATTGTGATTCTTCAAGCATAATTTTCTATCATGAATGATGCCTTTCCTTTGAAAAAATTGTACTGCTGACTTTTCATTCTTAGGCAGTTCCAAGATTATTAGATCCATAGCACTATGAAATAATTTTAAAATTAAGCCTGTGTTTCTATGGCAACTTAAAAATACAGAACATTTGAAATTTATGTGCAGTGTGAATATACATGCTTTTAGGGAAAGAAGTCTTAAAGTTGCCAACTCTCCCGATTCAGGTGGGAAACTCCCAATTTCCATTTGTTCTTCTGCCAACCTGATTAACATCATATTTCTGTTACCTTTATATTATTCTTAAAATTTTTCACGATTTTTATGCAGCTTGGTTTAATACTTTGTTATTTGCACTAAAAGGGATTTTGGGTGTCTGAAAGCACTTGAACTTTCTGTACATTGCATAAAGTTGCTTCATCAGTGAGAAATTATGGCACACTTCTGCTTTGTGAGTGAAAGCGCATGTGTTCGAAAACATTGCGTTCCAGTACTCCATTGAGCATCAAGTGATACTGCATGTCGTCTGGCATATATTAGGCAATGAGTGTAAAGTAAGATCAAGGTTATTTTGTTCATCTTAATGTGGTGCAAGTGCATGTGCCTTCAAGAAATAATTTAAGATATTACTATCTTTTTTTTTTAAGTCTGCAAAAAAGGCAAAAAATATTCATGTACTTTTTAAAAATTATGCACAGATGACTTTCCTTCTATTATTTATTTCCTCAAGGAAATGTAATACATTTGCGATGTGTACCGTTTGCCATTACAATTTTTCAATTTTGCATGGTGGAAGGGCTGATGTTCTCAAACATGCGCGTATGCAAAAACATAAGGACAACATAAATTCTATTGAAATAAATAAAAAGTCAAATTTCTCCATGGAAACAAAGTACCAAAAAGGTATAAATGCAGAATGCCTGTTCTCTGCCTTTTTACTAAAGCACAACCTGCCATTGAATGCATTAGATCACACTGCACCTTTATTTAGAAAAGTGTTTTCCAATAGTGAAATCGCTCAGAAATACTCGAGTACAGTGACCAGAACGGCTGAAATTGTTAAAGTAATTGGGGTTCTTCGGTTACTGAATAATTAAAACAGTTCCATTCTGCCTCTCTATGGATGGAAACAATAATGCCATTTCAAAACTGTATCCAATTGTTTCTTTTTTTAATTCATTCTCTTCAGAAATTAAGTGTATAGTTTACTTTCTTTAAGCGTAGATTACTTCCACTTTAGAAAGGCATTCTACAGGCTTTAGTATATCATAACTAATTATTAAAACTTTAAAACAAAATACAATTCCTCTGAATTATTGCTTAGCACTTGGTGCCAATAATGCACCAGTAATGGTAGGTTTTTGAAGACTGGTGTTGCAGGCATCTTAAAAAAGGAAAATTCAGATTTGCGAATTATGAGGTGCACCTGCCACCTCTTAAATTTAACAGCTGAAAAAAGGGCAGCTTCTTTACCAGTAAGTGTGTATGAACATATTGTCGACTGCTTTAAAAATTTTTTACACATCCTCGACATTTTTTAGCTAGACAAAAGTTGTTTTCTAAATCTATTGGCATGGTTCCCCGTAACAAACAAGTTTTGTATTTTCCATTTACAAAAGTCAAATTATCTTCAAATTGTTTAATTAAATTATCATCTGCAACTGACAACTTATTAGAATTTGTAATTCCCAAAGATTATAAATGCTCTAACATCTGCATATCGATGGCAACAAAAAAAAAAAAAAAAAAAAAGGTGTTTATACTGCATCTCCCCAATTTCTGTCCTCAGAATTATCTTGTATTCCTTGTCGCGAGATTCCAAAAACAGTTCGTGTGCAATTTTAGCATTTTGGTTTTTTTTCCTACTTTTGAATGACATCCTAAAAATGATCTGCTTCTTTTAAAGTCAGAATATCTTCACTTGAGTGATTTTATGTATCAGCTAATATTAAAATCTTTTGTTCTGAATATTTACACTAGTAATTGCAATGGGTGTTGCAATAATCATTTCAGTAACTAATGCTCATTTCTCAGTAGATTTCTTAGGATCGTTCCTATTCCTCAGTATTAGATTCACTACACTACAAGTTTTACTTATGACTTTCAAAGACCCAAAAGCATAAACGAACAACTTTTCTTTCAAATACTTTTACGTCTAAAGGCATCTGCCAAACAATTTATCTATTATCTCTCACTGGCATTATCCATTAACACTCCATATAGTTTTAAGTTTCCTTTCTAACAAGCCAAGACATTACAGGTTTGCAATAAAGCATTGCCAACTGGCCCATGATCAGACAAGCTGTATTGAATCACACATTTAATTCCCCATTGTTCCTTCAACTCCAGCTTATTTATTACTTTTTTCGGTACTTTTCCGTTTCGCCGGCGCAAATCTCGCCAAGCAGACTTTATTGGCGACAACATACGGATACACTAAAAAAATTAAAAAAAGTTAGTCTAAGAATTCCTTTTTCGAAGCATAACTTTAATATCGCTTAAAATTCTAAAAAGCCAATAAATAAAGAAAAAACAATAAATTAAAAAAAGACAGAATTAAATTTACTATCTTTCAGGTTCAAATCTGATCGCGGTTTATATCAAGTGACCAAGGATCTCAGCTCACGTAAAACTCTACAAAAATTAATGCTCCAGTAATATTACATTAATTCAAGTTAAATCTTAATTTGGAACACAGTTAAAGCAGAAAATCAATTCGTCGAAAGCTTACTCAGAAATATGAAAAAATGCAGGCTTTATTGCTAATGCATTCTAGTTAGAATTGATGAAATTTAAACATTGACTTACGTTTCTATATTTCGTTGGGTTAAGCGCTGTGATTGCATCCTGATGACTATACGAAATGCCTTAGACATAAAACTGAATATTTGATAAAATTCTCTGTAATTAGATGCCAGTATGAAAGAAACATCAATCTGATAAGAAAAAGCTGCTATGTTTGAAAATGATTAAAAGGTACAGCGAGAATATTCGTTTTGGCATCGGTTGTACCATTATTGGCGACTTTATCGCTTGCGCCGGCAAAACAGAAAAGTACCCTTTTTTCTAATAGCAAAGATTGATGAGGTAAGCTGTTACAATTCTTGCATGGGTTGAGTATAGTTTTACAAAACCATGGCCAATGGAATTTTAAAAAAAACAGCAAAAACATCGATTATCTCTTTTTTAATCTATTTTTCCTTTTTGATGCACTTTCAAATTTGTAAAATTCATGTTCTTTGCAATTGCAAAATATACAGTTTCTATTAACATCTGTAGTATAACTCGCAATTGGTATATTCTAATTAATATAAAGCCTTTTATTTTCAAATTTTCTAGAATTACTTTTCTATTCGTTACCCAAATTATGGTAATTTTCAGTTTTGCTACTAAATAAATACGTTCTTTCCCTAGATCATATCTCTTTGTCTAGAAAAGTAAATAAATCCTTAAAGTTCCAGTCACTATCTGGATATATTCTGTTGAATTCTAAAGGAATTTTGGAATTCTGTCCAATAAAATGTTGATCAGTAAAGTGCTGAAAGATTTTAGTTTCAACTCCTAATAACTTTAAAATTTTAATTTGAATATCGGCTTTATCAAAGGACCTTCTAAATTCAGTTAAATCATCTATACTTCTAACAGTAGGAATTTTAAGTCACTCATTCAAATTGTTTACCATAGAGTCATAATATTCTTCAGTTAACACTAAACCACTTATACAGTTGTATGCCATACCTCCTAAATACAACCTTAAATATTTAAATTTACCTATTTATGTAATATTATTTTAGTGCTTTCAAACTGGTTTTTAACCAAGAAGCAAGATCACTATTGTATTTATTAATTATCAACTCAGGAAATTTAACCGGTTTGTTTTTCTGGTGTAACCTATGCAGGAATAGAAAAGAATACATAATCAATATTGATTTCATTTCTGATTAATATGTCAGTTAAGATGGTTATCTTTTGTTTCTAGAAGATAATTTTCTGAATATTCCTCTTACGTAGTAATTTCATCTTCTGTATCATCATCACAAAGAGTTTTGACTTCATCATTTAAGTGTTTTAAATTAGTCTCCTTATCTATTTGGGCTCAAAATTCTTTTATTTGTTACATCTGTCTTCTTCATTTGTTACATGTATCTAGCTAGAATCTTCAATAATAAAAGATTCGACTTCGTTAATTATTTAATTTAGACCTAACTCCACTATGTTTCTTTCAAAACTTCACTAATTCCGATATCAAATATCAAACAAAAGATCAAATCAAATCTTACCTTCGCTTCCTGCGAAATTCTACAAAACACCAGAAAAATCTTGCAACTAAACTAGTAGAATTCACAGCTTCTATCCTCAGTGGTGGTGACTTCAATAATAGTGTGGATACAAGGTGTGACACAAAAAAAATGAGACTAGGTATGTAACTTGAAAAAAGAGTGGAGTTGGGAACAACTGTTTTGGTGATGTCATGCCACACACACACGTCCTCCATCCATGCGGCCGTTTCGACTTAACTGACCATGCCAGTAGGGAGTACTGCATCCTTGAGTGACAGGCAATTACATTCTGCCAGAAAAATTTTTAATGTAAAAACTGAACAGTGAATCAACATCAAGTTTCTTGTGAAACTTAAGAAATCGGCCACGGAGGAAACATTTCAAATGTTAATCGAGACTTTTGGAGATGAAACTTTGTCTCATGCACTTGTGTTTGAATGGATAAGCAGTTTTCAGGGCAAGGGGCCGTGTGCAAGATGATGAACGTGCTGGACACCCGGGGGCATCCAGCACGTTCATCATGATTGAATGAGATACAAATGGTCAGACTGTTAATCAACACTACTACATAGAAATATTAAAAAGACTTCATGAAAAAATTAGGAAAAAAAAAAGGCCACAGTTGTGGAGTGATGGATGGTGGTTGTACCAGGACAACACACTTTCTCACACAGCCCTATCTATCAAGCAGTTTCTGACGAGCAAAAACATTACTGTAATGGGGCATCCTTCTTATTCACCTGATTTGGTTGCATGTGACATTTTTTCATTTCCTAAAGTTAAATCTTGCTTAAAGGGAACCATTTTACCTCAGTTGAAGAGGTTCAGGCAAAAACAGAGAATCCAAAAACCTCATTCCAGAACTGTTACCAGCAATGGCAGCAACGAATGCAGAAGTATGTGAATGTGTAAGGGAACTTATTCTGTAAGTACAATGATTCATTGGACCAGTCTCTCTCTTTTTTTTTTTTTTTTTTTTTTTTCGTGTCACAACTTGTATAAATAAAGAAATAACTCCACATTTTAAAACTAGAATGCTTTAATTCATTATATACACTGTAATACATAGTACCATCATTACACACATCCCATGACAATATATTCATTCTTTAATTCAGTATGGGTTGAGAATGTTTGACATCTCATGACAAACATTCTCAACCCACATGGATACTTCTTGACATGAAACATTTTACTCACTCTGTTGAGGCCTGCTACAGTGTCTTTTATGACAGATTTCAACCAGCATTGAGGTAGAGGAAATGAGTTTCATTAATTTAGAAAATGAAGATCCCAGAATTTGAACACTATAGTATTATAATAACCAGTAATGATCTTAATACTGCAGGGATAACAAACATAAAGGTTTTTAGTGCAGTCTCAGGAGATCAACATAATATTCTAACCTGCAAAGAAGTTTTAGAACCGACAGGTGTTATGTTAGTTTATACCATTAGCTTGTAAGTAAAGTAATTTTTTAGCAACCTGTAGCTGCTGAGTTTCAAAATTTTTAACTGTACATCTCCTGCATAGTGTCTTCCATATAAAAGTAAAATTTATAATTATGATGAAGTTTTGTGTTAATATATAGAGTGCAAACCACCATATAGCTATATTAATTTTTGTTTAAAGATTTTTTTTAAAAAAAGTATTTTGACATTTTTCTTGTTAATCATTTTAGATTGCAGAAGAAATGGAGAAACAAACACTAAAGTTTTTTTAATTAAATTGTGTTAATTGAAGTTTATTGTTCAATAATTATGATTTAGTTTTATGAGTTAACAACAGTTGATGTTATTTTAATTTAAGAAGATAAGTTAAATACCTAAATAAATTTTCATAATTTTAAATTTGTATATGTCAGTGCTAAAATCTTCTTTGAAATATTATCTGAATTTCTAGACTGCAATCCCTTGGTGAAATGTAAAAATAAAGAATATTATATTTTCATGCCCTTAAATCTGCAAGGATAAGGGGGTTTTGTGACATACTGCAATTGTTATTTATACAGGATCATTTCTGTGAATGTTGATCCTAAGCATGTGTACACTTTCAGCTATATTGTTTCAAATAAAATAAAGAATTTTATGAGAACAATTGCAATGCTGGGAGCAGAATACTTTTTAAAATGCAACTTTAATGTGGTTCTTTGCATAAAAAAGCCCAATCAAAAAATTCAATTTACTCTAAGTTGAATGCAAAAATGCTCTGTATCTTATTTTGTTACTTATCAACTGTTCATACCTCAGCTTTTTAAGAAAGTTGGATATGAAAGAGCAACTATATTTTGAATTATCAAATAATCAATGTTTAGAATTTGGGTAGTATAATGTTTCTACCAGAATAGTTTCTCATAACTTTAATTACTTTTTTATGCATTTAACTCTAATATAGTGTGTATAGTATCAAAAATAATATTTTTGAAGTTAAAAATAATTTTATATATATGTTAAAAATTCATGAAATTTAATTTTGTTCTTGTTAGAATATAAATCATCTCGTCATGAAGATGCTTTCCAAGAACTGAACAAAAAATCTTCATCTCTGAAAAGAATCCTAAGTCGAATACCTGATGAAATCAATGATCGTAAAACATTTTTAGAAACAATCAAGTAAATAATTTTTGTATCAGTGCTTCAGTTTTACTTGCATTCAATTATTTATAAAGTGTGAAAGTAAAATTATCTTTTACGTTATTTTATACAAAAGATTAATTATTAATTTATTTCGTTAGTCTAGTTTAATAATTAAGTAATCTCATGAGTAGAAAAGATGTTCTGTTTATCCATATATAGATAGCTCTAATATATTTTTATTATTATTGTTTTCTGTTTCATAATTATTGCATCAAATTGCAGTCAGAATGTTCAGAATTTGATGAAAGCTTAAACACTTTAATTTTTATCCGTGAGTAGTTCATCTGTCAAAATTCCTGCTATACCTATTATGGGTCTAACTTAAATGCCCATACATAAAAATTCATTCTGATGTTTAATAATTAGAATGAGTTTTAGAAAACGATTCATAATATATAATATGTTCATGTATATCATTTTCATGCTATTAATCTTTTTGAAATGTCATTTGTCTTATCAGAGTAATGAGTTTTGCAATGAAACTATCATGTAGTGTAAATTTGTTCATATTCTTTATAGGGAAATCGCTAGTGCCATAAAAAAACTTCTTGATGCTGTAAATGAAGTTTCAGGGTATATACCTTCACCTACAGGAAAGCAGGTAATTTTAAGTAAATTTATCTCCCCCAATGTTAAGTATTCTAATTGTATAGCACTATATTTTTACACAAATCTATTTTATATTAGTACTAGTAAGCCCTTGATTCTCAAATGAATGAAATGTTTTAGGTTAAAATGACAGCGGCCGAGCGTTAAAGTTGCTGAGCACTACTGGTAGTTCGGTCCGAGGTTGGAATTCCACGAACGAGCTGGCTGCATGGGCGTTTTTGTGGTTTTCCCCATGTGTAACGTGTATATGAGCCAATTTCCCTTAGAAAGTCCTCCACGAAAGCATCCCTGCCCTTAGGCAGATAGCCTTAGTGTGCTTTGCCATAATTAAAATAAACCAATAAATTTAAGTGAGCATCCAACATATATGTGTCGTGTCCAACATTCATCTTTTTTTTTTTCATTTCCCAAAGAATCTGTCTCGAATAATCTTTTTATGTTAATTGTTTTTGTTGACTTTTTTATTAATATTGATGTAAATTTTTCGAGTGCATAGTGAAAAAATGTTTTGGACTATTCTGTGTTGATATTAACTTGTGGAGTGTACAGAGAGAAACAAAATTTTTTGACTGCTCGGTGATCTCAGATTATTTTTAATTACTCTCATTTCTGAAAACATTACATAAAAATGTAAACATTGATCAGCTGGGTGCATCCAAAGCATACGATTTTTTTTCCCCCTTCACCATTTTTTTCTCTTTGCCTTTCTGAATCATAGTAACAAAGATGCTGGATGTCATTGCTAGTACTAGAAGTAATAACTAAGATGGGCAACTCATGCCTTAACCTTCCAGCATGCGTGTATGCAAAAAAATTACAACAAATTCTGTTTTCAATGCCCATTTTTTGCATATTGAAGCTGAGACATTTGAAGGTCATTTCTATTCCTCCTTTCTACCCTTCCCCACATCATGGAATGTCCCAACAGGAAGTCATTTGACTTTTTTTTTTTAACTGGGCTTTTGTACTACTTGGCAGTTTTGTTGTAAAAGTTATGTCACATGTGTGGTCGTGGGTGAAAATTCGGAAGATACCTTTTTTCTCAAATATTTTGTAATTTTGTGTTATTAGTTGCCATGTATTATTTTAATTTGTATACATTTGGCTCTGTAATTTTTATATCGGTTTTCATGGCAAAAAATATGTGCAACCAGCTGATTTTGCTCACATTCTTCAAGAGTTATTGATGAAGAAAAGGAAGGATTAATCATTTTAGGCACAGCTACATCTGTGCATGTTGATATTTGGATGAAAATGGATTTTCACTCATCTTTTGTTGATAGAAATTATTAGTTTCTTCAACTATTATGTTCATTAGTTGTATGCAAAAAATGCTGAAGAAATCAATTTCATTCACATAACTTTGATTTACGTTTACTTCTGCAGTTCCCATAAATCCATAAGGCTTCAATTACCTTACAGATTGAGTTCATGATAGAATAGCCACTGTTCTACTGGATTGTGAGGCGAAAGGAAAACAAACTTCCATTTCAGTCTCTGACAAAATTTGAGTATCAAAATCACTATTCTCATTTAAATCTAGAGTCTTTGGTGTCAAAATAGTCACTGTTAAGTTCGAACGAACACTTATGGGCTTTACAATTTGAATATACTCTTCTGTCCCTAAAAACTTATCTCTTTTAGACATCGTATTATTAGTTTAACTCTCTTAACTGGTGTAAAAAACTTACATCTGCTATATAAAGAAGATATAAACTGATTATAAACCAGAGTTCCTAAAACCTTAGCTGGTTGATCTTTACATTATGGTAACTTGGCGATTTTTTGGCGAAAATTTGGCGACCAACTCTCCTACAGCAACCCTCTATTTTTTTTCCCCGCCGCCATTTTGTCTTCACGAAGTAAAGACATGTTTCTTTTCTTTTTTATCTCCTGAACACTTCTTCCAACAATCTACTAGCCGAATTACACTTATGCTAGAAATTTTATCTAACAAAACTGCTTAATCATGACAAATATTCACTGCAAAAATTAGGAAAAACTGCACAATACCATCCTCCTTACGCATTTTCAAAAATAACACATACACACATAAACCATGTACACGCCGACTTATTTTTACTTAAAAAAAACATCCCAGAATTGCACAAAAATGGCATTGCGCACACTCTTCACTATATCCATGTACACTGCTTTTTTCTCATAAATTACAAAAAATTTCACGAAAAATACATGACAATTTTCTCAATCTTTAAACCCGGTAAAAAGAACATATATGAAATTACCTGATCGCGAAAAAAGTATTTACCCTTTACAAATATGAACATTTCCACATATAAAATAAATAAAATATCCAAAAACTTTACCTCTAAATCATCTATTACATTATACACGTCACCAACGAATTCATACGCAAGCATTACAAATACTTAGTATCAAATATTTAAATTTTTCCATGCACGTTTATTTCAACTTTAAACGTATACCAAATTCCTACAAGCATAAAATTCACAAAATAACTATCATTTCATTAAAATATCACTAAACCATGTACACGTCGACTTATTTTTACTTAAAAAAAAATCCCAGAATTGCAAAAAATGGCATTGCGCACACCCTTCACTATATCCATGTACACTGCTTTTTCTCATAAATTAAAAAAATTTCACGAAAATACATGACAATTTTTTCAATCTTTAAACCCGGTAAAAAGAAATATATGAAATTACATGATCGCGAAAAAGATTACCCTTTACAAATATCAACATTTCCACGTATAAAATAAATAAATATCCAAAAACTTTTACCTCTAAATCATCTATTACATTATAAACGTCACCAATGAATTCATACCGCAAGCATTACAAATACTTAATATCAAATATTTAAATTATTTCCATGCACGTTTATTTCAATTTAAAACGTATACCAAATTCCTACAAACATTTAAAATTCACAAAAATAACTATCATTTCATCAAAATATAATTGAATTCAAAAACACTACTTAAAATAAAATGAGCACATACATTCAATTAATAAAAATTACCTTACAATCCTAATTACTTAAACTAAATCATTGCTAATAACAAATTTTCCCAATAATACCAAATTTCCTTTCCACCTTACATTTACAAACAATGCATAAAAATAATATCCTCAAATAATTAAAAATACTAACTTACCTAATCTTCTTCAGAATCTTGATTACGTGGCGGATACACTTTTCTTCCTTCTGTTTCAGAATCTTTAAAAATCATACTTATCTTTCAAAGCAAAGATACCAGGTAAAATAAATAACATAAATAAAACTCTTTATTTCTCTCTCGCACAAACCTTAAAAAAACATTTATTACTATCCTTTTCAATACCACTAAATACCCATTTCGAATTCACTTTAGTTACGGCCATGGGATCCAAAAATTCACAAACACTATTTCACACAACACAGAATAAAGCCAAATAAAAAATTGCCAGATTTTTTCCCGATTAAAGAACAGTAATTCGTCCATTAATATCACATGACATATCCCATGATCTCTCATTTCCCTCACACAAAATAATGCGTAATCAGAACTGAATACTACTCACATTCTTAACAAAGTCTAATCTTCTTCCGAATCTTCCTTACATGGTGGATACACTTTTATTATGGATTCAATAAAATTACTCTGAATGATTTTTTTCCGAATTTGATAGAATTTGATAAAAGAAAAATCTCTTTATCACATCTACAATTCACTTTAGACAGCGCCAACAATCCCAAAATTATTCAACCCTACTTCACACACCAACACAATGAAGCTTAATACAAAATAATATACATCCACAGATACTTGTCCAAATTCCCCCCTTTTCCGATTAAAGAACCGTAATTCGTCCATTAATATCACATGACATATCCCATGATCTCTCATTTCCCCCACACAAAATAATGCGTAATCGGAACTGAGTACTGCTCACATTATTACCAAAGTCCCAGGTAGTAACCTTTATCGCCTCCAAAATGTCGCCAAACTACCAGTTACCATATTGTAAAGATCAACCCCTTAGCTTCATTACCAAATCTTCCCATAGAAAAAAACAGACAAATTTGAAGCAACAGAAAGTGTTCAATGTTTATATCACATGAAGCCTTAACTGTGCATCAGCTGGTTTTTGTTTACTTTATATCATCTGCTCATATATCTAAACGAATCACCAGCATTAGAGAATTCAGGGATACAAGGTTAAGCGAACTGTAATCAACATGGAGTGCCATCTACTGATTTTTTTAAAAAAAATTCTATAAGAACATAGATGTTTGAAAGTGCATAATGGCACACCCATTTGGAAGATAATGCAAGTGGAAATGCACCAGTGCATCACCTGTCTGCAGAGAGTTTTCTGTTCAGCAACATGCTGTGGTGAAGGGGGTTAAAACTAATATCGGAATATTACACAGATTAAAAATCATGTTTCATGCAAATCATCATCTCGCATGTTTTACAAAATAAAAGTTTTAAGATTTAGGATTCCATTTTAAGTTGCTTTACAGGTCATTGTCATTCACAGCCTCAAATCAAATAATAATTAAATTAAACATTTTGATATTTTCCAGTGTTTTTAAATGCTGAGTATTTTTGTGTGTTAACAGTTTATATAAACTCTGTGAATAATCTAGAAAAGGAAAAAAAAATTACAAACTTTTTTACAACTTCAGTAGTAGTAACAGTTTTTATAGGTGAAGATATTCGAAGCAAGACTCAAGATATCTTTATCAATTTACATCTCAAATGTAAGTATAGCAAATCTAAAAAAAAAAAGTATGGCCACACTTAAAATTGTAAATATGAACATTGATTAGCTGACTGCATCCACAGCCACACACATATTCACCTTTTCTAATATAAAATATTCTTTAGCTAATTGTAAGAGATCTTTTAATATTTGCAATATCAAAAATTTATTAATGCCAGATTTCTGTATTTTCTTTGAACACCTTTGTTAGAAAAATATTTGATGTAATTGAGGTTTTAGCTTCCTGTTACCAGCTTTCTTAAAAACTATTTAAAATATTAGCAGCATTTTTATGTTTCAAAATTTAAATCTAGGCTGAATGTATGAAGATTGGTTCCTTCTGATTATCAACAGCCCCCTCCCCTGAAAAGCATTCATGAGGCAATGCAATATGTTGCCAATTTATGTATCAAACCATTTATGTACTTGTGCATAGTAGACAAGCACTTATTTCATGGAAGGTGTCACATTTTTTATTTCAAATTTGATGGTTGATGATGATGATAAATTCGGTGTTTTTGTTGCATTAAGATCATCACCCCTCTCATGTAAAGAAGCGTGTAATGGGCTGTGGAGTTCGCAAGCTGATGAAAGAGACAGTATTGCATGTCATCAGAAATACTGCATTTTGCTTATCAATAGAGAATGTAAAAAGTCGCATTCCATAAAACTGTACTTCATAAATGATCGAATTGTATGGGTAAAAATTTGTGCTCAGATGCCAGAGTTTTGCGCCTCACTAAGGATTTTTAAGCAGAAGGCCCATTTTCAAATTTTGCTTACATTTGAAAAGAAAGAAAATTCAAGATAAATTAATATTTAAAGTTTAATTTAAGCAATGCATTGCATGAGCAAATATATTTGTTTAATTTAAAATATAAAAAAGCCAATTGAAAAGTTTTATATAAAAATTTAGTAAATCAATAAAAACAATTTGTCTTCCACTTCGTGTCAAGTCTGTTACCTTGAGATTATTTTAGTCCCAATTAGTTTGTAAATCAATCTAATGGCGGGCAGTACATATTCAAAGTAATCAAACTTAGCTTGACTAGTTTATCTATGTCACTGAGTATGTACTGCTCCTTTTAGACAGATTTATAAACTAATTTTGGATAAAATAATCTCAAAATGACAGACTTGACATGAAGTGGAAGACAAATGATTTTTCTATTGATTTGTTAAAGAGAAAAGCTTCCATAATTAATTTTTATCATGAATATAACACACTAATAAGTCATATTTAAAATAATTAAACTTGTTTATTTAAAAAAATTAAATTACAAAACAAAGAGGTTGAATAACATGAAACTTGAAAGGGAGAGGCATTTTTGCCTATGATCACACATTTCAGGAGTTTCATATAAAAAATTTCAATTGATTTTTTTACATTTTGAATTGTAGACATATATTTGTAGTCATCTTTATGCAATGCATTGCTCAAATTAACTTTAAACATAATTTATCTTGAATTTTCTTTCTTTTCTTCTGGGACAGCATATGCATATGTAAGCAAAATTTGAAAATGGGCACACAGCAATTTGTTTCTAGACAGATCACTGTGTGCATAGGAAAATAACACCATGCATAATGCCAAATTTATGCAATTTTCGGATTTTTTTTTTAAAGTGAAAAATAGATCTTATATGTGGAAAGAACAACATGGAGGGGAGAAAAAAGGTGTTTTACTATGGATATTTTTGGCACTGTAAATTCTGTTAATTGATTACTATTTTACATATTGCTCAATACGCCACTATTTTGTAAAATGGCTCTTGCCTCTATATATCTTAATTTGATAAAAAAATTATTCACCATTGGTTGACAACTTTTAGGAGGAGGCGTGCAGATAATCACTAAGTATCCAAAAATTTTATGTTTTTCAATTGGAGCAGGAAATAGTAATCTGTGATTTGCAGAAGCAGTATAATTAACAAAGAAACGTGTCACTATCTGATCCAGCATGAATTTTTATTTAAAATTACGGAGTTTATATTTTAAATTGTTGTACAGCATTTTCACATTAAGAAGTAAATAATGTTGTTTATATTATATGGACATTTTTGACTTATTATGTATTTGATACTGTAATTGTAATGATTGTAAGTTTTATCTTTGCTAAAAATCTTTTCATTTATTTAACCTATGTTGGACCTTGGATTTTCAGCCATTAGTCTCTGTCAGACAGTCCTGTAAAGTTTCGAGACAAGTAAAATGTTTAATAGCTTTTGCAGAATTGCTGCCTGCAGTACCGTTAAGGTGAAGGCAATTGTAGAGATTGTCTCTGGTGAGTTTACCAGTCCCACATAATGGAGATGTTTTTGTAAATAGTCATGGCCAGCTCTGAAACTGTGCCCAAGATGTCAATATTATGATGTTTGAGTACAGTGAATTTTTCAACAGTAAAAACACCAGCATTCCAAAATGAAACACTTAACTTAAAATTGGCCATATCCATATTTTAAATGTATGCTCTTCAAATCTTGAAATTGTGTCAGCTCTCTGTGGTGCATATAGCAAATTAATTTTGAGGACTTCAAGATATTTTATAAGTATGATTTGATACCCGATGCAAGATTCAGCAGCTAATGAGATAAAAAATTTGCATTGTAGCATAATCATGATACCAGATTTATTACTATAATTAACTTTTTGAATTTTCTAGGCTTTAGACCAGAGAAAACGAGAATTTGTCAAATACTCCAAGAGATTTAGCAATACATTAAAAGACTTTTTTAGAGAAGGACAGTAAGTAATTTGAACTTTGTTATGTAAAAATTTACTTTCAGTGTAATTTCATGTTTCAGAAAATTGATTAGTTAAGAAATGTTGTTTAAAATTTGTATATGCATAAAATTTCTTTTTGATGTTGGTTAGTGCTCAGGTTTATACTGTTAGAGAAGAAAAGGTGAACAATTATTATACATAATGTAAATATATTATTACACATAATGCAGAAGTAAGTAATAAGCTAAATCTTTGGTTCTTATGTTGTTAGTGATAAGTTGATACCAGAGTCCTGCTTCAGTATAGGCTTTAAACAGTTCACCTGATCCCCCTTTCTGCACCTCCATATTTTCAGTTGAAGCGCGAGCCTGCAATTTAATTTTTGTAAGTTTGACTGCATTATTAAAATTAATCATTCAGTTGGTGGCTGCTGAAGTTTAATTTTTCTGAAATTAAAAAAATTAGCATGGTTACAGAAATGCAATTAATGTCATTGTTTTCCTTAACTGAACTATTGGCATACTAGTGGTTGACTGATTAAAATAACTAAACATTAGTAGCATGCTAGGTTCATTTTCTGTTTGATGAGATAAGCTGCATAGAACGTTTTTGTTTTTCTCCCATGGGTAGCATGAGTATTAGCCAGTTTCCCCTATTTACTACTAATCAGGTTATTATACTTAATTATTTGCTTTCAGTTGATGTCATTTGAATTATAGTGAAATGGTTATATTTTTGTTTCATTGTACGTAAATATATTTGTGGCTATAAATTTATGTTTATTTCTTAGGTGGAACAACAACCAGCTTATAACAAATATTTCAAATTTTATTGATTCTTACTAAATTTAGTTTAAACAAAGAAAATATTTCTATATTTATTTGTTCTTAAAAGCGTTATTCTTAATTGCCTTTAAAATGCAATTAATTTGTTCTTTGCATACTTTATGTATGAAATCTGTTATCTATTAAATATTTCCACTTTTAATATGTTTTCTCTCTCTCTCTTATTAGATCACAAGCTGTTTTCCTCAGTGCCATTTGTCTAATACATCAGACAAATTTAATCATGATTACAGTTAAGCATAAATGCGACTGAAATATTTATCTGTTTCAATGCATTTGTGGATCTCATCCAAGAAAATATTTGAAGTTGGTCTTTTAGAGCACATCTGATTGAAGAAGTGCTATGAAACTTCTATTTCAATTTAGAAGATATTTCATTTTTATATATCAGTGAAGATTTATGCCGAGACTGAATTATTTTTGATTATATGCCTTCACTTAAAAAAATCATTCTTTAAATAAAATTATGCTATATTCGTGTAATTTTTAATAATTTAACTATTCCAAAGTGACATAATGTTCCACATTGGGATAGTAATCCATAGTTATACCAAATTCAGTAGTTATATATCTTATGTCTTGTATTGATTGATCATTTGTGGACATTTTTTTTATACTTAAGATGTTAGAATTTTTAACAGATATATTTGAGATCTTCCTTAACAAGATTCTGCTCTACATTGTATTATTATATCCAAGAACAATTAGTTATATAACTATTAAATTTTATGATTATGTTATATATGGTAAGAATTTCAGTTTATTTTTTTTATTAAGTGCTAGTTCAGAGCATTGTTTTTCATTTGTGTTCTTTTGCTTTTGCCTTGTTGTGATGTAAGTGATGTAGTTTAAGTGTTTGTGACTTATTTTCACTATTTCAAGTTTATACTTTGTGTTTCAATGTTTGAATTTTGCTATGTATAATAGTATTTCTAAATTTAAAAATAGTTTTAGTAAGTAGAATTAAAATATTTTTCAATGTGATTCGTATATATAATAATAAAACTTTGAATCTTAATATTTGTATTTTCCATAGACAATAAGAGTTCTCTCTCTTTTTTTTTTTTTTTTTTTTTTTGGCTGGTTGTGTAGAGCAGTTTGAAAAAAGATTTAGACCTTTTTAGAATTCCAGATCTTTGTTTAAGCAATTTAGTTAACTATTTTGCATTAGGAAAAGGAAACTGCTTACATGTTTTAAAATCTTTATTTTTTAACTTGTTTTATGTATGTATTTTTTTGCCAGTATTATAGGAAACGTTTACTGTATACTGTTGATAATATTAGTCGTTTAAGCATCATTAAATTTAACACATAATTAAATTTGATATTAATTTTACTTTTACTGCAAAATCTAAAAAATCTATAAATTGAATGATAATTTTAATTTTTTTATGATCTAACATGCTAATAATTTTATATTGAATAATTATAAATATTTCAATAACTATAATATTTTAGAAATTGTGAATAAATAAATTTTTTCCAAATGTTGAATGTAAAATACCGTAATTTTGGGTAGAAAACCCACCTTATCATGTAAGCTGCAACATGAATAATTGACTAAAAAAAATTAAAGTTCATCAGATCAGCCACTCTACCGTATATAATGCCTCAAAGAATTCTGAAACATGGAACTTAAATATTCATTTATTCAGTAATTGTCTTCCATATTAATGTAATCATCATTGATAACATTTTGTAGTATGCCAGCATAAATATAATTAGTAATATATAAATAAATAAAAAATAAATACGCTAAAAACAAACTTTTCTGATTTCTAATAGATGTTATTTTTATTGATTTGGTAAACTTTTGTTTAGCACCATAAATTACCGTATTATGAAAAAAATACATAAATTATATAATCAAACAGAATTTTATAATTAAAATAAACTACATTTATTTATACCAAACTTCAAAATTCAGTTTATCAATGTCAAAATTAAATAAATTTATCAAATAACCATCAAGGTCACTTTTATCATTCTGTTCTGAATCACTTCTTTCGACATTGCTCTCTTCATTTTCACTTTCTTTTTTGATAATTTTGGATTTAATGAAGGCTGATATGATCATGTTAGTTTGAACTGATTGCCATGTTTTTCAACTCGTAAGGCTGCCTCTTCGTACAAAACTTTTTACATCAATCTGGAATTTGTGAAAGAATGGAGTCCACTTCACATCTATTCCTCCCACAGCTTCTGCAGTCTGTGCTTAAAAATTCTATTCATGTAGAGATCCAGTGGCTGTAAAGTTTTTGTCAACCTACCTGATATTACTGAAATAATACTGCTGAATGTTTTTACTTCGAATTTTACTCTACCCACTTAATGGGATCGCATTGAATCCCCAAGGTTGGAAAAAAGCACTTTTCCTTTTTCAATAAATTTCTCTTGGCCAAAACAACAACATTTTTTCACATATCCATCATTTTCCATTGGAACAAATAATGACCCCTTGAGGGAAATTTCCTTTTTGAACACTGTTTTTTCTTTTGAAAATTATCAAAGAGGTTAACTTCTTTCCATTAGTAGCACAACCCAAAACATAAGTAAAAGAAATCCTTTCATTCCTGGTTGTTAATACAGAAATAATTTTTCACCTGTTGAATGAACAGTCTTGCTTGGAGGATAGTCAAAAGTAGCAGGCACTTCATCCATATTAATTATTTGCCCTCTACTCAAATTTTGTTCGCTGATTTTCTTAGATGTGTACTTCCAAAAAATTTTATCATTTTCCAGTCCAGTCCAGTCCAAGCTTCTGTCCAACTGTTGTTTTTGTCCTGACAAATAGTTTCTTTCGCTTCATAAATCTGAAACACCAATTAGGTCCTTCAAGAGACTTTAGTGACCTTTTGTTCAGCTATTACTTTTGCTTGAAGGCTAATTCTAACTGTTGACACTGATAATAACTTTTCTGTCCGCACTGTTCTCCATTTCTCTAAATTATCTTTCTAAACAGGCCAGGCTATGATGCCAGTCCAACAAGATCTTGAGCATTTTCCCTAATTATTGTCCGTACTTCCACAACTGACTGCATCTCTCATCAATTTGAAATTTTCTAGCCTCAGCCCAATTTCTAATTTCTGTTATTTTCGTCATTGCCGAAAGCTTAAAAGCAACTATGTAACTTTTTCTTTGAGTAGAAGCAATACTACTAATATTTTTTTTAATTCAACATGTGCAAACAATAAAATAATCACTGCAACAAATAAGCAATAAGAAAGCAGTGAGATATATGCAAGAATGAACTTGGCAAAATAAGTTTCAGTGGCCATTAAGAATCATCAGAAATTGATCATCAGAAAACTTGGTCAGTGCCACAGAGTTCAGCAGAAAGCACATGTATTAGTCTTAGTGCATTCTACTATAGTTGGGCAAATTTCATAACGAGTTCAGACTTGTTGCACTGCCTTAGCATAACCTGAGTGCTTGTAACAGGCTAAAATATCACCAGGGAATTCTATAATGCATAACTTGCAATATAGACTAGAGCAGTTAAAGGCAGAATAGAATTCTTTCAGATATGCCACAGACCAAAATTTGTAACTTTTTAAGTATGTATAAGCAGTGGCTTATCTCCCTGAAATTACAATAATTAAAAATTTATTCAATATATATATATATGTGCACACTGTCATAGAAACAGATTTCTTAAATTTTAGGGGAAATAATTCCTCTTCTTTTTTTTTTAAAATTTTTTTATGCCATTTTTAACTTTTATCTTAAAATCCATTGTTTCATGTAAAATATACTATATTTTAGTTAGACTGTTGTTCAGTATATAGTTCAGATGTTTTACTGCACAGTTCCTAATTAATCTTGTAAACTTATATCACTAAATATTTTTTAAAGCTTCCAGGTAATATTTTATAATAACCTAATTTATGAATAATCATAAGATTCATTATCAGAGTAATTATGTGTCATGTAAAATGGTTGATGTAATCTGTATCAATAATAAATTAATAGATCAGCGAGTTTTAAGTTATTATTAAAATTATGTGATACATTAAACTTTTAAACTCTGAAATTTGATGGTGTAAATTATATTTGTATTTATTTCAGAGCACATAATTGTAGAAAATCAATATATTTTTAAATGTAATTTTATTAATGTAAAAAGTTAATCTATTTTTAAGTGTAATAAACAGAATGACCTGTAAGAAGGTAAAAGGATATTGTCCTGTATTGATGGTTTTGTGTGTGTAATAAATGAACATCAATATCAGTAAGTGAACTTGTACCACTAAACTGTATGTATTGTACTGCTATATTGTGTTATTGTATGCATGAGCATATATTTATTAGAGGAACCTGATTCTAAAAAGTACTTTATGTGTGTATTTGTAAAGTGCAACACTAAATTTTCAAAAGATATAAATTATCTTTTATTATACTAGAAAAGTCTCAGTTGAGCCCCCCCCCCCCAAGAAGAATATTGTAATGAACTGTCATTTTCCACCTATAAAGAATTGCATCATCATGCATGTTGCATGTCTTTTAAATATTCACTCATATAAACTTCATTTCATAGCTTCTTAAGCATTAGCAGTATACAGCATTGAAAGTATTCAACTTTCAACTGTAAACAAAAAGTATAATTTTGTTTGGGAATTTATTCAAGATTAGGACATTTCTTATAATGATGGATGAAATCACATTCAAGCAGAGGTCAGGAATAAAAGTTATATCATAATGGAATCTAATTCATAGAATAAAGCATTTATGTGAGAATGTGAACTTTGTATGTTCATTGTAGATTTGAATATTTTTCTGTAACAACCTTATTTAAAAGTATGTAGAATTAAAAAAAATGTGATTGCCATCATAATAATTAGAATATTTTTAAATATCCTGTTTTAAAACTTTGAGTTGGGTTTGATCAATGGAAAGTGTATGAGGATATCTGCATAAACTTCATCAGTTTTAACCAAGGAAATCCAAGAGGTGCTGGATCTGAGGTCTTTTACACTCTTTCCCTACCAGTTGTTTTTCAAGAGTACTTTTGGATCAATATATTTATGTTTTCATTCTTCATTGATGTTACATATACAGTTATCCATAACTCATTCAAAATTTACATTCATTTCAATGTCATTGTAGGCAACCTCTGAATACCACCATACTACTAAAGGCAGCTATATAAAACCTTGAAAATACAGCGACTCAAATATATGAATGTTTAGTGAAAAAGTTTAAAAACAAAGTTGTGTAAATTTAATCACTACTATTATAAGATCACAGGGAATAAATATTCTTCATATATAAAGTGAGCATAAATTCTGTCTCACATAAATTTTAATCATTGGGTAGGAAGTTATTTTCATACCCATGATTGAGTTATATGCAGGGATTGGTAGCGTAGTTATTTTAAATTATGTATAAGTTTTTTATTTTGAGTTCTAAGAGGATAAATTTTTCATAAATCAAATTGTTATTACTTTCATTTAAAAGGCAGTTAACATTCCTGCATGTGCATTTGATGAAAGCTCTTGATATGCTCTGCAGCAATACATTTATAGCATGGTATGTATGTGTTTTAAATGGTGTATTTCATTCCATGTGAAATCTCTTAAAACAAGAGTACTGTTAAAATTATTGAAATGAATATTTTTAAGCATTATGTACAAAATATTAAAATTTAAACAGTAAGAAAATTTTGAAAAAAAAAAAAAAAGTTTCTTTGTGAATGTTTACAGATGTCAGTACATGGTGCTGGTATTTTATGAACTTGTATTGTTATGGGCTACCTGTGATAATAAATATAAGTAATTTGTCTTATGTTTTAATTTATGTAAAAAGTGTGATTAAAGAAAGATTTTAACACGAAATATATTTTCTCTTGTATGTATTTTCAAATGAATAATTTTTCGGAAACCTGCAAGTTAACTTATCTTAAATTTGTTTAACCTGTTTTGGGCAAGAAATGAGAAGTTGCCATTACTCACAGAATGACTGATATATATTTTAACCCCATTCCATGAATGAAGGTATATATTTGAGGCTTCATACAGTGCATTAAGATCAGTCTTGGAAAAAATATTGATGGAATTTTCATTTTTCTTCTTAATTCATACTGTTAACATATGGTTTTAAATAGAATATAAAGAATAATGTGTGGCATTCGTATTTCTGAGAGAGACAGCTGAGGACAAAAACTACTCTTTACCATATGTGATGCAAGACAGATACTTGCTTCATGGGCATATTCAAAATAATGTATGCAAAGTCCTGGTAGTGTTGTTTACTTGTTGGATACACTGGCACATCATCTTTCTGTAAAATAACAGCAACATTTAAAACTTTGTGAAAAGGTATTTATGAATGAGATTAATCAGGTTATATTGGGTCATCCCAAAAATAATGCAATTTTTTTTATAATTATAATTGAGCTCATAAACCAAGATATGCTTCTTTGTCACTTTCATTACAGCTTTAAAAATTACCACTTAAAATCAAACTGTTCTTTTCAACCTTTCACTAGGAATAAGGACTAAGAAAAATTATTACTTACTTTTATCGTAAGTTGATGCAGGGGAGGGGGGTGATTCCATCTTCTCATGACTTCTAATTCGGTCATTTGAAGAAACTGCATTATTTATGGGAGGATTCAGTATATGCTAAGATTTAAATTCAGTGTAACATCAGCAGTTTAAATATTTCTTTTTGAGATTATAAAGTCTCATAATATTTTAAAATACATTTAAATCTGTCTTGTGTTTTAAATGTCCATTTATCCTGAAAATTCTGTGTAATGTATCATTTATAGGGAAAAAAAGAGCTATTTGCTATAAAATGGAAGGAGGGCTATTTTATATAATACTTCTTTAGTCTTTAAGATGTTAAAGAAAATTAACATGCTGTTTTAAAGGAATTATTTCTGCTGGACTTTGTATAGTTTCTTTTTGTATAACTTTTATTTGGCTTACATAAGCTTCCCTGTCATCTTAAATATTCTGAAAACTTAAAAAAAAAAAAAAAAAAAAATTAGGAAAGTTTAGAGTAAATGTAACAAATAAATACAGAACAGTCATCTCAGGTATTAAAATTTTCACATTTTAAAATGGTCACTAGTAATCATAATCTTTTTCTTCAAGTATTTCTATGCATTTGATATCTGATACAATTTTATTAGGTTATAGTTATCCATGTATCTGTTAATTAGCTGCTGTTCACCCCCTTTCTGTTTAGAAGTGTGACCAATCTAACATTCCATTTTTTAAGCAAAATATCTGCCCTTCAAAAATGAAAAGTGTGGTTTAGAGATCGCAACATTATATGGTGTCACTTAACAGTAAATTAATGTCTTGTGCGACTAGCTTTTGGCCTGGTATATGTTCAGTCCGACAAATTACACATGCCAGAAAAAAAGCTGCTTGCTCAAGCAACTAGTGTTGCTTTAAAAATATTTATCATTTAGTAAATCAGCACTGAACAATGACCTCAACAGTTTGAAGAATCACTCAAAAACTGCAGCCAAATTTTCCCACCCTGACATTACACATCAGGAGCACTTACCTTTCCATTTCAGGGCAGCACAGTTTTGACATCTCACCGTCATACTTCCTAGAGCACAGGCTGGATAAAACATAATTTACTTTTGTATTGCATGTGAATGCTGAATTATCATAACTGAGCAACAGATGCAGAAATTCAGCAACTGAAAATGCAGTCTTGCTGCAATTGTCTTCAGGTGTTTTTCGTGCTCATAATGCTGCTTCAAAAGTCATATATAATCCATTCTTCTTCCTCTTTCTCCAAACATTTCCAGATTTATTATGCCTCTTTGTAATTTTTCTGCAAATTTCAGTTTGTTCTAATATAAAACTGTTTTATCATCCCATCAATATGAAACTAATTCTAAATTCTGCCTGTACCCTTTTTTTGGTAGTCAAGGCATATTCTTAATTCAAATTAAATATTATTGGTATTAAAAGGTAATCTAATAAGTATTTTATTCCCAAAAACTATACAACAAACTTCTCTTAAAAGCTAATTTTTTTTTAGTGCTTCGGAATTTTTATTTTATACAATTTTTAAATTTTAATTTCTTGTGCTCGATGTCATAAATGTATCCTTATAGCAATGTGTGTGTAGAAATAGCTTATGCACCGTGTTTGTAAATCTTTTTGAATGTAAAATTCATTTAATTTCCCCAAAATTCAGTGTTTGGGCTTTGAGATGCACCTGTTTGTGTGCAAGACTAAGATTGCTGAAAACTTAGATGCCACCATCTTTCCACTGTGTGATGAACTTGCACATTCACAGGTTCTTCATTTAGATAATAGAGATATAAAACCAATTTTTCAATCTGCTATAATTCTCAATTGCTCAATTTTATTTTAAAACACCGTATGAGTAACATCTTAAATATTTACTCTTTACAAATTTCTTTTGCAGAATGAACGTAAAATAAAATCAATGCATAAGTTATCACACACATTGTTGTAAAAACATGCTTCTTTTATGACCTTGAGCACAAGAGGTTAAAATTTGAAAATTTTGCAGAATAAAAAATCAGATGTACCAAAAAAATTTGGTTTAAAGTTTATTGCATAGTTTTTGTGAATCAAATACTTATTAGAGGTACCTTTTATTTTAATACTAATAGTATTTTAATTGTGAATATGTCTTGATTACCAAAAACAGAAACAGGTAGTATTAGTTTTACTTCTTCCCTTCCATATTTGGTATTTCTTTTTAAAGCCTTGCATATTCTTTTAAATGGTTTAAAAATATATTACCCATATTTATTTCATTTGCATCACAATAATGAGTAAGATAATTATATTGTACGATTTTTAATTAGTTCATTAATTTGTAAATGTATAAAATTATTTCAGTTTTTCATTGCTAATTTATCTCTTCATAAAGTTTTCCCAAAATGTTAGTGTTAGTATTTGTTGGGTTATAAGACACGTCTATTGCTGTAGTGTACCACTTCATTGCATAGGACCATCAAGCAATTAATTTTCTTTTGTGTAATACTAGGACTCCCTTAAAAACATTTTAAACAGAGATATTGAATTCAGCCCAAGATATGATCAATATTCAGTCATAAAGAAATCCTAGCATGCATTTTGATTCACCTCTTGTTGCTAACTTTTCACAGCTACTTGTTGCTATAATGTTAATTGTTGGAGCTTTTAGTATTGTTGCGATATGACTAAATATTTAGTAGTAAATATTTCCAATCCTAAGCATTCCTCTCTTGTACTTTTACATCTATTTAAAATCTTAAGAATTACTTACGTAACACACAACTTTGAATATTTCGGACTTGATGCTTATTTTTTTAGGTACTCCAGATTTTCTTACACTGTGAAAAAAGAAAAGTTGCCATTATTGATTTGTATATTGGTATGTAATTATGTTTCTTAGTTAATGTTTTTATCTTTAAAAGGACTTTAAAATAATTTTAAAAGTTACCTTCAAACATGGAAAATGAAATGCATTTTCATAGTAACCTTTCTGGATTTATCATAAGTATTTTGGAGTTCTCTTGTTTCCTTTCTTAGAACATGTATTTATCCTTTCGGGATTTTTTTTTTTTTTTTTTTTTTTTTTTTTTTTGTTTTTGCATATGAAGACCACTTAATTATAAAGGTGCTTGAAATGTCATGCATATATTTGTTAGAAGTTTCTGAGCAAAATTTCCATCTAAATAGAGGCACAGAATGATTGTAAAAACTCCATCTGTGTTTTCTCCTTTTGCACAGAAGATTTTCTATAGGAAATTGGAATTTGGCTAATCGGGTAATCAGACTAACTACACTTTGTACGTTCTTCAATTAATAGTAAGTCGAACCAGCTTATATTATAACTCTAACTAAAGAATAAGTATATATTATTGAGCTTTTAGAAAAACTGGTGCATTTTGGAATATCGTTAGAGATATTCTGAAGGCAAGAAATATTTTATGCTTCAGAACTTCGAATACCTTGTTGGATTAAAGTCCTGCTTTGCATAACACTAAGGTGGTATTAATAAAAACTAGTTAGCTGCTTCCCTGTGTCCCTTTAAAATACTGGCTTCTTGGAGCATCTAGAAATTACTTTCCAGGTTATGAATATCAAAGTATATCACATAGAACTTCATATTCAGTAAACGCTGTGATGCCATACACCTTCATTAATTTGGAGCATTGTCAGTGTTGCAACCTTAAATGGCTAAAGAAGCTTTTGAAATTAATACCAGGATGAAAATTTACTAAGGACTTCTGGTAGGTTAACCATGCGCCGTATTGAATAATAATAATACGATAAAGGAAATCTGATAATAGCATATTATTCCAGTTTTCTTTTATATAATAGTTGGTAGCACTGAATATCCTCCATTATGATTAGGCATCTAACATTATCGTTTAGATAATTTTGAAAAGTGCTCAAACAATTGCCTGCGACCGAAGCGCCCGTGTTTTATTATAGTATTTCAGGTCTTTGAAGATATTGATCTCTGCGCCTCTTGAACATTTATTAATGTTTACATTTGAATGTATTATTGAATTTGCTCTGCCCTTCTTAATTTATTCACTTTTGTTAAATATGGCATGTTACATCTAGTGAATAGAGTAATTGAAATTTATCAGCATTTCTTATATCTCCTTTCTATCAGCTGAGCACTTCCTAAAGGATGATTGAACCCATTGCTCATTTCTTCACCGAGAACACTACTTGTATTGCACTACAAGGGGTAGACTAGGATTATACTGTTCTAAGGGATTAGAAAGATGTTACAAACATACTTCCTTATGAGGAGCTGATTGATATGGTAGTCAGCCTTTTCTAATCTATGCACCGTTCAGGATTATTCTTATCCCATCATTTCATGAAACCAATGTATTATTTTCTTTTAATGAAAAGACATTTTTTTAAATACTTTCAATTTTACTACTTTGAATATACGAGCAATATAAGAAAAATCTGTATGCAATTATCAGGGCCGGGTTTAGAATTTTAAGAGTCCCAAAGCACTTAAAGGTTTGGGGGACCTCCCAACTATGTTTATGCCAGTTTTTTTCCCATTTCTTTAGCCCGGTCTTGTTTAACGACACCATACATTCTATGATAAAATGTGGAATGTAAAATTTTTCTGGTGTCCCTTTCCTTGGTGCCCTAAGCATGTGCTTATTTTGTTCATGGTTATTCCATCTGTAGCAATAATACTGCAAGAATTGCATGCTCGCGAATGATATCTAAGTCAGTTAACAACAAAAATTGCATTTACATAGGAAATTTTAGGATAGCCAAAATTTATAAATGAATTTGCACTGCTTTACATAATATGTAAAGTTACATTACACATTAATAGTATTGATGCTGGATACAATGAAATTAAAAAATCTGATGTGTACACCACATGACTTCCTTGTACAGAATATTAAATTATACACATTTTTTCTTGCATTTTATTTAAACTTATTAGATTGATTTAAACCTACTTCGCCAACAGTGCATAAACCACAATGGAATAAATGCATTCTTTAAAATTCACTTTGTTTACCATAGCGACACTCTGGCGCTAGGTTTGCTTAACAGTATTATATTTCATTCATATTATAACTCAGAATGCACAAAATGTATATCATTTAAAGAATTATCTAATCGTTGCCACATGTTCTATTCAAGTACTATAATAAAGCTAGAACTATGGATAAAAGAAATTAAGCAAACAAAACAAAACAGAAACAGTTTTTCACAGACGCTTGAGTATTTCTCATTGAATTAATTCAGCTCTCACTGCGCGAGAAGGCAAAAATACATAAACACTCAAAATATCTATATTAAAAATTACAAAGTAAATCTCAAACGCTTATTTCCTCGAAAAAATTCCAGAACGAATTAAGCATGATTTAATTGGCAATAATAAATGAATGCGTTATCTTTGTTGTTGCGAAGCTAAGTTTCTCTAGATTGGCAACAAATCCACTAATCTCCTGTTTCAAATGTAAACATCAATAGCCGCCATTAAAAACAGGCTTAGCGGCAATTAAACAACTTGTGGTGTTGCGCGACCCCAATCTGCACGCAACAATAGTAGTGACTGCTATGAACTGGAAAGTACACAAACTCTTAAGAAGAGTTTAACTCCCTTTTTATTCCACTTTAGAAGTTACAGATGCGTGCACTTGACGCTCACAAACTACGCCGACCCGACGGTAAAATAAAAATAAGAAAGTACAACTAAAAATGAATAATAACAGGTCACTACCTACGAGGCTCTCTAAACGTAACTAACCTAACCGCGTTCTAAGATACAGCTGAGATTTCAGCAAACTTTCTGAATAAAAAAGTTGAAAGATTCAACTATCTGCCGAAGCAAGCACACAAGCCGAAACGCGCGGTTGTTAAATTTCTACCTAGCAACCTTCACACTCGTGAATCAAGAAAGCACAGTTTCGAACTCGTTTCCCTTCTATTTAACTCAAAATTACTTCCGCTGACAATCTGAATACTTTGCGCGTTCTACTAAAATTTACATACTCTGGCATTGGCAATTCCAAGGGAAAGTAAGGCTTGACAGGAAAGATAGCTTAAATGTTAGTTAAAATAAATATAAACCCTACAAACTTTAAAATTGCTGATAATTCTAAAAATATTGCACACAGATTTACTAAAGGCATAAAATCCTTAACCGGAAGATAAAAACAACATAATTCAATCGTTTTTAAAGCAAAAAATGTACAATTTACCAACATATAAGAGTAAAGAAACTGAGATCACTGAGGCGGGTAACAGAGTGGATATATATATAAATATATTTATATACGTTTGGTGCGGCCGATTGCAACCAAAATACGAGGTGCACATCTACATGTTATAGCAGTCCTATATACAAAATTTCAACTTTCTGAGGCTACTCGTTTTTGAGTTATGCGAGATACGTTCGTACAGACGCCACGAAAATTCTCTTCAGAATTAATTTTAAAGCAGTTTTATAGTTTTTTTTTTGAAGGAAAAGAGTATTTTATTCTGTCCTTACGTACAGATATGACGCAAAAACACCGTAAATTGCATTCGATAGCGGTCAAAATGGATATTTTCGTTGAAATATGCTGCCTGAAACTTTTCGCGATTACAATACTTCCTTTTTACTTCGTACAAGGAAGTAAAAACAGAAACTATCAATATTTAAAAAGAGAAATAACTATCTGAAAGCGAAGTTTTTTGGAGGGAATTATTTTGCCTTTTTTTTAAGGACGAGTGATTATCATCAGCAAACTCTGAAGCAATAATCTCGAATATTAAATATAGTATCATTTTCCAAGTAAGATTCTCTGAAGAAATTCTACTTATGGCAATCAAAACTGTTTAGAATATTTAAAACGTGAGATGAATGAAGAGAGATTCACCTGATCAAAGATATTTGAAAATTAAACGCTAAGTCTCCAAGTTTTTCTCATTTAAAACACCGAACAAACATATGCTCTAGAAAATCTAAGATGAAGCATTTTGAAAATATTAGTGGTTTTCTTTTGAGACATAATTAAATAAAACTGCGTTCATTCACAATATCCAAACAGAAATATGGAAATTAATTGGTTTAGAATCGGATGATTTGACATTATCTTCAAACTGAATCTTCGTACCGTATTTTTATCTCATTCTGCAGAAAGAGTTACAATGTTACATTATTTTACTATATCCGCGAAAATTTACAATTATGGACGAATTGCGGTGAACTGTATGAAGGTAAAAAAATTCATGGCCTCACCAAAAGTGAACGTCGGACAGTTGATCCGTTAAGAGACGCGTGAGGACATAATCTGATGCTACTGGAGAAATAACTTCCCCAATAATGTCTTTACTTGATATTACAAAAGTAGTAATTTCACGACCAGAGGATTTTAGCGATCTGCACTGTCATTAAGCTTTTCGTGTCTCATTAAAATGTCTGTTAAATCACAAGATTTAAAATGCAACAGAGAAACTAAAAGAGTGTGACTACTTCAGTCTGCAAAATAGGCCAGACAGAGCAAGTACACTGAAAATGCTCTGAAATTCTCAACTAAAGGGAGCTGTTAAACACCTATAACAAACTAGTACGATTATTCTGTCATTTAGCCTCTCAGTCGCAGTGAGTTTGTTTTTAGAAAAGTGCTCATATTTACGTAACACTATAAAAATTTTCTTAATTTTACACACACAATCATGGAAATTTTCTCATGTATAACATAAATATGAATCAATTTTTCTCATTATTTGAACCTACCAGTAGCCGAGTGGGTAAAAAAATATTGGTAGTTCGGTTCGAGTTTCAAAGCATCCAGTCCTTGGCATATAGTGTTGCAAATGGCATCATTTCACTAGCCAATTGCAC